CCGTGACTGCGGATCGGATTTTCCAGCATTCATTTTCAAACGGCAGAGGGAAACAAGCGTCTCTCCATCGTTTTGTCTACGGGGCGGACGTGATAATGGCCGTTCACACAGGGCGTATTAATTCGCGCGCTCGTTCACGAGTCACGCGATCCGCCACGCTAGAAAAGAGCGTATCGGCTAAATTAATTTCAACCATCTCTCGCCATCTTCCCAGCACGCGTCCCTGCCTTTGACGTTCAATTAAATTACCATCCTCTCTGTACCCCTTCGCCCCTCTCTTTCTATACAGAGTGTGATTATTGACCCCCCCCCCCTCTCTCTCTCTCTCTCTGCGTGAATCGGGGAGAGCTGCTTTGTCCCGGATAATTTTGCAAGAAATCATTGGAAAAAGTGCTATTTGCATAGCCGTACGTACATAAATGGTGTACTCTTCGTCTTTTGTGGCAGAATGTGGTCAATGGAGCGCGAATAATACGTTCGCGATGATACGATTGTTTTAGTTTCTTCCTCTCTCCTTTTTTTTTTTTTTTTAATAAAAATTTGATCCTGGGATTTCGTCTTGTTACGTGAATTCTTCGACATATATTTTGTCTGTCTTTTTGTGCATTTATCAGATACGATAATGAGAACTTTTGGACGTCAAACTTAAAGTAAACGGAGATTGGAGAATTTTTTGAAAGAAGGAAAATAAATTTAATTGAATTAAAGCTGTGGGATTAACGAGATTGGAAGGTAGAAAATTGTAGACTATGTAAATTTACAGTAGCTTGAAAATATTTGAACGCCTGCTATAGAATTTACCATAGCATATGTAGTATGTTAAAAAATCATAAAAATTGAAAACTAATCTGATAATGAACTAATCTTATAAAATGGAATGTAGTGTAATATAATCCTAAAATAGATGACTGTCATTAATCTTGAGAAAAATGTATAATATGAAGGTGACAAATAAAATTTATGCTATATATATAGCAGAAGTTACAAGATATCTATTGGTAATATATACGTTAATAAAAAATTAATATGCAATATAAGCATAGTCCTGAAATATTTCAGAACACTTAAAGATAATATCAAACGAAAACTCCCGCATGAAGTGTCCAATATGAAATACATAAATTACATACAATTAAATACTAATATGAAATGCATTGTATCACATAATACGATAATTTCCTAATTAGCATACATGAAATAAAGAATTTGAACGACAAGATTGTTCAAGAACGTGAAACCCTGTAATTTCTAATTATCTTATTTTATTTTAATTTTAATTGCTATAATGATGTAATTTTACGTTCCCAATAAAATGAACATAAATTTAGTGACTTCAATGGTCGAGAATAAATTAAGAATAAGATAATTAAATATTTTCATTCATAATCCCATAAATTTCAAATAATATTGACGTGAAATCTCTGCGATTTTTAATCTTTGGATTTCCAGTAAATAAAAGAGAAAGATACCTCGACTCGACACGTGTCGAGTCGCGTGCTGCTGAAAATAAAAGAATCATTTCCCGGATCATCGCGGTGGAAAGATTCCCAACGTTTTCGAGCGGGTTAGTATTACGGTAGAACGTATGCACGAGCTCTGAAAATAGCTAGAACGACACCGCACCACATCGCTACGCAGTCGATGGAAATGGAAACGTGTATTTATCCTTTTCGCCATAACCGATGTGTCGAATGAAGTAGTCAATGGTGTTTCCTGAGAAAACAACGCGCGAACAACGAACTGTGTTGAACCAAGACCGCTCGGTCTTCTGTTATCGACACCAATTGATCATTCTAACGCGTCAATGACGTGTGTCCCTTATTTCTGTACGTAATGGGGTTCGGTAGCACTTTTACAGCATCGTGACAGATCGTTTCGTTCCATCTCCATTACCAACAGTACGAATTACAAGGGATTTTTCTCTTATTATTGGAATCGATATTGATATTGAGGCAACGTGTTTTAGATTACATCTATCAAGATTGGGCATTATCGAATTTTACTCAGATGAAACTTTCACGTGTTAGACGATGTTACTGAAAAATTGATTACTTTATTACTGTAGTTTTATTTACTCTTTTTTTCTTGAACTTTTTTTTAGTAAAAGGGCAAGTTGAAAGCAATTTCATCGAAATAACAAAATGATGATAAAGGATATATTATATTAGAATATTCCATCGTAGATTAGAATTACATTAGAGATTTTATCATATCCTATTCTCAAATTGCACTACTAAAATATAGATATATTAAATATTATATTAGAATTAGGATATTCAGTTAATGGCTGTGTTAAATACTACATTGTGATACTAGAATAATGTATTAGAATTAAAACATTTGGACAATGGTGGATCAGACACGGGAGTTTTACTTTTCAACTTTCTCTTCCAAAGATATTACGATAGAAAATCTCAAAATTTTGCAATGGTCGATCGATGGAAAGTGAAAACGTGCAACTTTCCTAGGGCTGTTTTAAGTTGCATGAGGGCAAGTGTAAGTGTAAACAACTTTGAGGGGATTGCATAGACGAGTTGAATGGAGATAGGTTTCGTATAGGGGAATTGAACTTTCGGTTAAGAATCGTTCATAAAGTTCGCAAGCGATATAAGCTGGAAACGCCTAATTAATTCAACGAAGACTTCAGCCGAGATTATCCGGGTCAAAGTAGCTTTTTCAGTATCAGTACCTTGTTACAGATATAGTAGAGCGTTACAGTGTGATATTATGATATTATTCGAATAAAACATTTGAGAAATAATTGTTTAAATAAATAAGTTATCATCTCATTTGATTGGACGTTGTCTTGAGAGAATTCTGTTGGTTTATTTGAACGAACAAATAATTTTTCTTCCAATCAGTTCAAAATTTGATCTGTTGAATGCAAAAAATTTTTTAATTTCATTTTATACGTTGTATTCTAGCTCCTAGAAATGATTTTTCAAGTAGTTTTTGATTTTTATCGTACGGTGAAACGTCACGTGATGACATTTATATGACTGATTGAATAATCACTGAGTATATGAATATAATATTCAATATGATTATAACTCTTAATTCCTATTTTTTAGTCTATCATGAATTTTCACAACTGACCAACTATTTGTTGAATTTCAATACTAAAAGCGCCTGTTGCGAGAATCTAATTCATAATAACCATCGTTTAGAGTTTAGGTCTGGCTAAAATTGAAAATTTACGATGGAATGAATTAGAAGTTGCAAATTAAAAGCAATAACAACTGCGAGTGTGTTCGAGGAAAAAGCAACGGAAGAATATTTCAATAACAGACGACCGGCATCGCAGATTTCATCAAAGAACGAAAGAATTCTTACTTGGAAATGCCGAGGAAACTCTCGTGGAAACATCTCTTATGCACGGCGAAAATATTTTTCATCGCCGGAATATGAATAGAACGCAATCATATTGTTCATCCGCGCGTGCAAATCCGAATGAATTGAGGACTTGGGTTCGTTAGAATCTCTCGGTGAATGTCTCGTCTCGCAGCAAATTCTAAGACTGTAATACATGTATGTTTAAAGTATCAGTCGGATTGAAAAAGATTTCAACCACTGATACGAAGCCCTCGCGCTGAATGGTTAGAGCATTCTTAGAGCGAAAGAACTTTACGTAAGAGCTAATCCCCGATGACGGTCTCTCTCGAAACAAGCACCAAATCCGAGAATACACGCTCGTACAGAACATTCTCGTTCAGTGTAATACGGTTTTCAACGTTGTGATCAGCGGTGAATCTACACGGAGGAATCTCGCCCGAGTGATTGATGTTTTGAATCTTGCTTTTCAATCTTCAAACAATTTCTCTACGGCATTCTGACTGATTTATCGTTCCTATATATATATTCTATCATATCAGCGAGAGATAATAGAAAAGTGTCTGTGTAGTTGTTTCACTGTGTAAAGACGAGCAAAAGGAATACTTTCTGTATTATATCATTAATAAAGCTGTACGAGAAACTTTATCCGAGTGACTGATGTTGAATCTCGCTTTCCAGTCTTCAAACAATTACCTACCACAGATACAAAAACGGTCCATTATATTCAGTATTTATCTCGTCGTACACTAAACAAGTAGAATATTTCAATATTTTAGAAATATAATATTCGTCCCAGTGAATCTCAAGATACACAATTTTCAATGAATTTCCCTATCAAGGCGTACTAAAGATTCAATATTTGTCTCGTCATACGTCAAATAATTGAAGAATTGTGATATTTTATTATAATTTAAAATAAAATATTATATATATATTATATTTAAATATAATATTTATCTCAATCTTGGTACACGCAAATTTTTAATTAATTTCTTTATCAAAATATAAATAGATATTAAATCTTGGTGTTTTTACTACAAAATAAACGAACTTTGTAGATTCATTGATTGAAATAATAACATTCAGAATACACGTGTATATCTTGCTATTCAATTTCTAATAAATTTGTCCACCAAAAATTTGAAATAGTTTCAACGTCCATTGCACTCGATGGACGTTACGCTCCACGTTAATGAACAATTAAAATTGTAACATTCAGGGTACACCGATAAATAAAAAAAATTAAAGTATTACAATTTAAATATCCAACATTTCTCTCATTATGTCCCACCAATCGACGCATAACTGAATGATACGTCCAAAGAACGTGCCATCTAGTCGTTGAGAGGAATTTTCAATAAATTTTTCTACCAAATTGGCGATAAAGTTCAATCTTTCGTCCATCGTTCGTCGAAACAGTGAACGACTATAATTCCAGCATACAAAATTCTAGTCCTCCGTAACGTCCTCTTTCTCGCGAACGAGAATGACGGGCGTATAATTCCCGAGGACGAAGTGCAAACAGAGCGTTTTGTCTCATCGACCGCGTGCTCTCTATTGATGCGCGGGCTGTTTAAACAAAGGCAAAGAGAAAAGTGAGGAGGGGGGACGGGGGGGATGGGGCGTTAATTAATGCGGTAAACATCTTAATCAACTACTGAGAATACCTCTGCCGTGAGAGCACCCTTCAGCGGCTTGGTTTGCGGCCCTCCGTTCTCCAGCAAGAGACTCTTCGTGCTACCACCCTTGACCCTGACGCTGCTCCATCTCTGTCGCGGCACATCGGTCACCCTTTCGCTTCTCTCCCCCTCCTTCAGCGATCCACCTTTGACGCGAAGCGCGCCGAGCACCGCGGGTGTCACAGGCACCTCCAGCTGCCCCAGGAGATGCTCCGACATCGCTCGAGGGGACTTGATGCACGTCATCGTCGCCGGTGCGAGCGTGTTTGCCGATGATACCGACTTCACAAGAAGATCCTTGCCCTCCTTCGTCCACGACGTGATCTTCCTGCCGAGGGACAGTGTGGTCGGCGCGGAGGCAGGCTTCCCCGACGAGAGATCGACCGCGAGGCTGTCCTTCTCCACCGGGAGGTCGTCGCTCACGTGGATGTCCTCCGCCGGTGATTTCACCGTCGACGAGCTGGACGAGGTGTTCTCTCGCAGGCCTAACAGACGATCGCCGGCAACGAAATGGTCCCTTGTCGACGAGGAGCCAGCTGCTACTATCCTCCTCCTCGCGCCGAACTTTGTCAATCGATTTCGACAGACGGTCAACGGTGTCCTGACACCCTCTATCAATGCGTCCCTCTCTTCCGACGACAACTCGCTCTCCTCTTGAAAGTCCGACGACGTACTGTCGCTGATTCTACTGACGAAACTTCTACCGGCCTCCCTTCTAGCTAGCTCGAACGAGACGTTCTCCGCTGGCCGACGCGATGTCGCTTGCAGGTCACGCTCGTACGACGAGGAACTGGTCGAAGTCGTTCCAGCTTCCGTGAATACCCTCGCTGTGCCGTTGGTGGACGTTGACTTGGCTAGGAAGCCCCACTTGCGTGCCCTAGCTTCCTGGCCAGTGCGAGCCTTCTCGCAGCCGCTCTCCGACAATGCCCACGACGACGCTCGGTGCTCGTCCGTAGACCGTTTCACGGCCCGTGGCGAACACTCGGACGAATTTCTAGCGTCGCCGAGGGCGTTCGACTCCTCCCTGACGGAATGAGCACCACTCTCGTCCGAGACGCTAGACTCAGCGACGCTCGAGTCCTGCTGTTTGGTTGGCACGGGCCTCAGCGGTATCTGCTTCCTCCTTATCACCACCGGCGGCGGTAGACGATTGGTTGGCCGGCCAGCCGTTTCCAATTGACCTTTCACCGATCTCAGTGCTATCTGCTCTTCCCTCGGGGACAATCCCGGAGGCTGGGACTTCGACAATTTTTCCTTGAACAGCTGAATTTTGGCGGAGTGTACGGTGACCTATTTCAATTTCACTTGCGACTCCTTCGGCTCCTTCGTTATCAGCTGATCAGTTTGTTTGCTCTCTTCTTTGTTTCTCTTTGCACGTTTTCTCACAGACACACACGCACACTCTCTCTTTCTCTCTCACACACACACTCTCTCTCTCTCTCTCTCTTCTCTGGCTTTTATCTATCGTCGTTCGTTGATCGTATAATGGATCACGGGTCTCTTCGTGGCAACCACGGGAGCAAATACAAAAGGTGCGTAATGTATAGGCTAATACTTCGACGTTTTGAAAGACAGTTGGGTTAGACACACACACGCACACACACACACATTCACACACACATACACGGTTTTTTTCCCTTTTATTTCAGCTGTTTGAATGCTCGCGCTTGGCTGCGTGTTTTACTCTGATCGAATCTTTCTCCCCCTTCGAATCGATACACGTGTGTCCGCGTATCTCCGCGATAATTTCACAGTGGAGCCACGTTCGATCGACAAACACGTGGATTTCTTCGATTCTCTGCCTCTTTGTGCTTCAGATTTCGGTGCGCGTTAATGTCGTGCGTATCAACCGAAAGTGTGCGCGTTTCACACGGTGACTTTTTGACTTTTTCTTCTCTTTATGTTTACTATATATGTATATGTATATATGTATATATTCGTCGCGAACGATCAAGCACGCTGACTTGCCGACTTGTAATATTCTAATCGTTTCGTGTTACTTTACAATGGCCCGCTCGTTTCACCGATGTACAAGTTTACGATCGATTGGTAAAAATCGTTACCGATATCTGGCATTGTCGTCTCGGAGCCTCGCTGGTCATTGGACAGGTGGACGAGACGTTGTTTTCTATTTCTTTCATTCGTTTCTTCTTTTCTTCTCTTGTTTCTTATTTTCTTACTTTTTTTTTTTTTTTTTTTTTTTGGTTTTCTTTGTTTTTTTTTTTTTAAAACGTCGGTATACAAAATGTAAAAGGGTCGTTGGCTTAAACTTAATCTCTTAATCGCCGCCGCTTGTGTGCTTTGTAAGCTACCTTTCCTCTGTTTCGTCGATCTTCGAATTCGGAGATTCGATATACTGTGGCTTCAGCGGTAATTAATAATTAGCAATTAGTAATACATAATGGATGGAACACGACGACAGTCTCAGTTGGGAAAAAGTGACTTTCTCAAGTGTCAGTCTCGATCGCGATTTTTTCTTTTTCTTTTTTTTTTTTCTGCTTTTATGTGTCTTTTTTAATATACTTTTTTTTCTAATTAATTTCTTTCTTACTCTCTCTCTCTCTCTTCGGTTCTGTTGCAAGCGTTCAATCTCCTTCTTCTCTCTTTCTATCCCTATCTCCGTCCTTCTCCCCACTCCTTCCCGTTTTCAGCTTACTCTCGCCTTTCAGGGAAATATTGCGCAGTGCGCAAGGACGATACCGTAAAAAGAAGAAAAAGACTGGGCAAAAACAACGAAGCTTCTCTCTCTTCCCTTCTTCCTGCCACCGAACTGTTCCCCCGTTCTCGTCACAACGCAGGCTTCTCCACCAGGAAGCCGCCGGTTCGTCGAACAAACGATACTCTGGCACGCAGACTCCCGCCGATCGAGTGGATCGTGTGAACGTGGACGCAGCTGTTGTTCGTCTTGAAACGCGAGACTTTCAAAGTCCACGCGAGCGTGGAGACGACGCTCGAGACACGCGGGCGTACGAGCCTCCGATGGATTTGGCACAAGCTAATACTGAGGAATCGTTCACGGACAAGCGAGATTCCATCGTTGACAGGAGGCTGACGCCGCACCGTGTGCCGAACGATCTCTCGCGAAACAGACAGACAGAGGGAAAAAAGAGTCCGGTCAGTCGGTCACAATCCCTGTTTCCCTCCTCCTCGATCGTACCGACGATCGTGCTCTCTAGTCCAAGGCTGTCGCGAACATCGCGGAAGCAGCGACGACGACGATCGATCTACCTTTTCGTCGAAGCTCGATGGAAAAACTCCCCCTTCCCCTTCGTCTCCCCCTTCGACCACACCAACCTGTCAACTGCCGCGATCGAAAATGTTCGTCGTTTCCCCGTCGTAGCGGAGATCACTGATCGCAATTCACACTCGTCGATTCTCCTGGATGTGGTCATCCAGTATAGGATCTCACAACACTCTTGAACAAGCACCGGTAATCGTGCGATGCAACACCGTTGCAACGATTAACTTGCCTCGTTCGCGCATCCGGTCACCATCCCGCGGCACTCGCATTCTCTCTCTTCTTTCGCCACTCTCTTCTGTTCTCACACACAACGAAACACGAGACACTGTACCACGAGGGTTTCGCGACGCGTCTCTTCCCGGTTGGTCGTCAACTCCCACGAATTGACTAGTTGCTCGGACAAGGCCAGAGCCCCGCGCTAATCACGCGCGTTTCTCTGCTGCTGTCGGCTGTCTGACTGGACGGACGACGCGGGAACGTTGGCTACGAGCGAGTCCATATTCGCGGAAACGCGGTATCGTGTCACCGATAGGACCGAGCGGATCGTGGATAACACCGATAACACAGTCGACGCGTGTCTCGGTCGTGTTTCTTTTTTTTTTTTCACAGCCTGGTGACACGTACGAAGCAAGTCTCTCCCTCCTTTCTACGTATCATTCCACTTCTCTCTCTGTTTCTCCTCGATTCAGTCGGCGACGAACGCGGAACGCTTTCAACGAACGTCGAGGTGATCTCGGGCGCAGCTGCACGCAGCAGGGTATCTCATGTTGCCGAGGACAGGTTGCGATTCGCGTCGTCGACGGTACCAAGCGAACGAGGGGGGCCAGGAACCGAACCGGGTTAAGGGAGGTCGAAGGACGCGCTGCAACGGGCGCGTCCACGGCTCCCGGTCGTTTCGACACCCTTTCTGGCCGACATTCCGGCTGTCCGTCAGCACACGCGTCACCCAACAGCACACTCCACCAGACCAGGTAGTGTCCAGCTCGATCGAAACTCGTTTCGCCACTGCGTTTCGCGCACACACGCACAGATCGCGCGAGGTCTGACACCTCTCGAGGTCTCTCGCGTCTCTTTGAACGTTCGTCGCAAACAACTGTTTCCCCTCTCTTTCGCTCTTTCTCTTCCAATTCTTTCTTCCTTCCTTTCTTTCTTTCTTTCTTTCTTTCTTTCTTTCTTTCCTTCGTTCGTTCCTTCTTTCGTCCTCGCCGCGTTCTCCTTCTCCTTCTCCTTCTCCTTCTCCTCCTTCTCGTTCGCCGTTCTCCGTTCTCGTCTGTGTCTGCCCCCTGCCGCAGCGTGTGTGTCTGATGGTGCGCCGCTCTCTCCTGTCCCGGAGGCGAGGACCGTGGTCGTGTCGTCAGCGTCTTTTTCTGATGCGCGCCGTGCCACCACCGCCGCCGAGCCACCGACGACGACCCACCTGTGCTTACGCTTATTGATTCGCGGCAGTGCCTTCCGCGAGCGTATTCCGCCCCGTTATGCGCCTGTGCGCCGCCGAATCACGACGATTCTGCGCGACCGGCCGCATACGCCGCGCCGCGTACGCCTGCCATTCCGCTGCACATTGTGCAGTCGCGCGCCTCGTCTCTCTCTCTTCGTTTCTCGTGCACACGCTCCGGGCCAGGTTCCCTTCGAACGAATACTCCAACTCTGGCCTACATTCTCTTCTTCTTCTTCTTCTTTCCCTGCCCCCCCCCCTCCCTCCCTCTTTCCCTCCGTTCTTCTTTTTTTTTTTTTCCTTCAACGGTGATCAGCCTTTGATATGATGATTCAGGGTGGGAAAGAGGACTTTGACAGGGCTTTGACAGGCGCAGCTACTTTAATAACTCTTTCTAGGTGATGGTTCTCGATAGTTTCATCAGGGAGGAACCGGCAGTGACCGAGCACTGACGACAGAGTCGGAATTTGTAATTGCACGTCGCTTCCTTTTTTTTCTTTTTTTTGTTCTTTTCTTCTTTGTAGTTTGAACGAGCTATTGCATTTTGTCCCTTTTTTCTTTTTCTTTTCAAATTTATACCATTATCGTTTTAGCGAGAAACGAGTGACCGGATATTGATCAGGGATGGACAGTACACTTTCTAGTGCTCTGCTCGTATCCCTTTTCAATCCTTTTCTCAAGAAGCAGACGAACGCGAGCAAATGTCAAGAGCAAAGTTTCGTAATCACATATTGTTACTTTTATTTCATACAATCACTGTTTCACGAGGGAACGAGTGATTAGGCATTGGCGACGTTTCAGAATTACTTCTTACAATTGGCTTACTCTTTTTATAAGAGACACTTGTTTTGCTCCACTTCTCAATTGTTTAGCTTATATTCGTTTCGCTTATCCCTCTTCCGGTACTCGTCCGTTCGATACGACGATATTTTATAATAATTTCCGCTCTTTGTTTTCTTTCTTTGCTAGTTTTTTTTAAAAGGTCAGCGAATTGAGAGAGAAAGAGAGAGAGAAGAAATGTTTTATAATTCTCGCTTTTTTTGTACTGTATATTATTATTATTTTAAAAAGCAACGAGAGATTAGATATTTGACGAGTCTTTTTTTACTATTGATTTGCTCTTTTGTGAGAGATATTTGCTCAATTTTTGGACTCTCTAGCCTATGTTCTTTTCTTCAGTGATCAACTTCTAATACCATTGATATTTTATTTTATTAAGAATCTTTCTCGTTGATTACTCTTTTCGATGGATTTTTCAGGGAACAGCAAATTATTAGACGAGAGACAATAGCAATGTTTCGTTCTTACAGGGGAGTCAAGGTATTAAAATTTCTTTATATTAATATTAATATTCTTCTTACATTTGTATCAAAATGATTTCTCTTTATACTTGAATATTTTTTTTACATTAATATTTCACATTTATTATTTGTTCATTGCATTCGAGAATACGACGAATTTGCTTTAATTATTTTTGCAACAGACAGTTTATATCCATTTTTCTAGCCTATATTCTTTCAAATCTTTCTTCAGTGATTTATTAATACAATAAAGGAACTTTCCACTTTGCTTCCTCTCGATAGTTTCTCCGAAGAAAGCAACGAATGATTGGACATTGACGAGAAACAGGGGCAATATTACGTAATTGCTTCTTGCTGTTTTACTTTTCTACTATCAGTTTGCTCCCTTGCGACGAGAGACACTTGCCTTGCGCCCACTTTTCCACTCTTCCTCTCTCTGGCCTACAGTCTTCTCACTCAGTGATCAATCTTTGACATCTTTATTCGGGCTATTTTAGTTAGAATCACCCCTGTTGACGATTCTTTTCGATAGCTCCCTCGAAAGAAGTGACTCGCAAATGGTGAGAGATCGACGAGCGGAAATACCTTGGAACCCTGTCTTGGGGGCTCATCTTCTTTCTTCTTTTAATGTTTTGCTTTATTGCGTTGTTCTTTCCCACTTTTCGACCTCGCTCTTGGCCTACATTTGCTCTGCAATGTCTCGAGGTTGTAACACAGTTGGCAGACACTTCCTCTTGTTTTTTTCTGTTTTTTTCTTCTTTTTTCGTTCACTTCCTGAATGTGTTCAGTTATTTCAGAGTTACGACATGGGTACGATCTTTTATCAAGCAGATAAACCTCGATATTTTTACCGGGAAAATGGTAACCTCAATGCTCGAGTTTCGAAATCGTAAACCAGCACACACAATGAAGAGCATAACTGAAGGTTTTGTGTAAATCCTTTCTTATTAATAGACTGCGAATTTGGGGTGCGCGTTTATGGGGAAAAAACTGAAAGTTGCACGAGTGCAAAAGTATATAGAACATAGATTACTATAACCAATTTCTATTTAGATTCTGTTTCTTTAATTACGTTCAAAAAAATTTTAAAAAGTTAAGAATTCACGGCTCATTTATTACTCATTTATTACTGTCAACCTTCTGAAATATGGTTTACCTTGACATGTATTCATACTTTGGGAATTTTCTTCTGATTGCTTATCGTATTACACAAAAATACCAGATCAGATTTATTTATAATAATTATTAGTTCTTATATTTTTACATATTAATGTTTGTCAGTTCTAAATAAATGAAATTCTGATCACAGAGGGTTAAATATGTCGAGATTAATACAAAATATTTCATATTCATATATATATTTCAATTGTTAACGTTCAGCCATCCTCTTCATTCTAAATTAATAGTCACATTAATTATTCTAATTAATCAGACATAAGGACAGATAAACTGTTTTTCAAAAGCACGTGGCTCACGAAAGTATTCGAATAATTTTATGAAAATATCGTGTGTACAGAAGAACATTTCTGCATTATATGAAACGTTGTGAAGTTTCACTGTATGATTATATCGACAAAATTTA